TATATTATGATGAAACGTGAAAGTAAATTATTATTTATATAAGTACTTAATACTTTACTTGTTTTATTTAGTTAAATGTTATTATAATATATTTTTTTAATATATCCCTTATTATAACATGCATCGAACCTTCCAAAATTTAGATCACGAATAGTTAATTTCTTTATACTTATGTGTGTATTAATAAATTAAGAATCTTATATGAAACGTTAGATGGAATTTTCAAATAACGTTTAAAAAATTCACTTTTTTAAATAAACAACCGATGATATTAGAGACAAAATAAAACAAAATTACAAATTTTAACAGAAATTTAAAATATTCATTACCTAAATGCAATAATACTATGGAGAATATTATAATATTAAAATTTAATTAGTTAATTTAAAACTCAAATTTAAAAATTATCAATAGATAAATAATTCGTAATTACTCACGGGGTATTTGACAATAGGATATTCTATCATTCAAATAGACGGATTAAATATGAATCACACTTGACGAATACTCGCAAAGCTGTACAAACTAGATAAAGTATGTAATAATATAATATGCAATATACAAAGAATACCAATATAGTATTTAAGTAATATAGTTGGATATAATATGTAAAAAGCAAAAACAAAAAATAACAATAAGCATACAGATTAATGATTTATATGGTAGGAAATTAGAACAAATTGTATGCAATCACTCTGTACATAGTTATCTCTAAGTAACGAACTAGTGGTACCGCCCACCTGTCACGATGAGCCCTAGTTTTAGCTGACACACACGACATTGTCAAACAGAGTGGTGAATAGTGGAGAAGGGAAGGGAATTACAAGGTGAACTTTTATTTCAAAACCGCATATCTATAACACAGCTATAGTGAAGTCAATTATAACAGCAATTCATGGAAAATTGTGCTAAGGGTTGTAGTTTGATTATTTATAGATGATTCATCAAACTGAACTTTGTAGTAGAATAATGTGTCAGTGTACATGCGAATCATGTGGGTCATTATCATTTATTTAATTACATATGAGCATATGATCATATGTTTGTCAACTTTAAATATTCAAGATTATTAAGAGATGTTTTTAAGAAAGATACTTATTTTAAATTTAATTTCCAAATGAATATTTTTTAGGCAAAGAAAATATATTTTTAGACCCACTACAAAAAACGTACAACTAAATTAGTTTTAAATATACTTTACGAAAAACACTTGGTAAGTAAAAAAAAATGTTAAATATAATGTTATTTTGAATTTGTAGTTAATATAGTGGATTATTAAATAATAAATTATGCTAATAAAGTTCAACATTTTCAGGTTATAATTATTTCTATTTAAATGCGAAATGTTGACTATAATAGGTAGTTTATCACACTATATGACAGATAAAAAAATAAGGACCTATACTAATTCACAAGTACGTACCTATTAACTTGTACATTATAAATAATAATAAGTAGAACATTTTTGAAATTTTCAATACGTATAAACTACATGTCTCAAGTAACCGTTTGGCGGCGTTTGCTAGAACAATATTTATTAAAGGATTAATTAAATATTTCATTATTTTTAATGAATTATGACCACGTATGTTTAATTTTAAAAAAGTGTTAGGTACCTATAGGTACCTAGACAAAATTGTTTTTGGATATTTTTTAATAATGAAAATGTGTTTTGTTTCGTTTAAAATTTAAATAGTTACTTATTTGTTACTTGCCAAAAATAATTATATATATAAAGTTAAATATACAAATACCTAGTATGAAATAGATTGTAGACAAATCCATCCTAGTTTTAACTAGTCATATTATACATATATATGCAGGTGTGTACTGGATTTGGCAACAAGTCCTATAGAAACAATATTTTCCTGGACATTAAAAATAAACAGTTAGGATACTTAAACGGAGTCAGTATAACAGACTAAAAAAACAAAAATGTACTATATTATAATAATGTACACAATGCATGTTGGCATGTTGACAATATAAGAAGGGGAATATGCAGTAGGTGGACTTTATGAATTATTGATTGGCCTACATGTGCATGGATATTCTATGTGAGGTTCTATGGGCATTATGCTTAAGTAAAACGTTGAAAAACATCAATGGATCCCCCACATAAAAGTTAAGTAAAAGTAAACATTTACTTGGAATCTTGAGTCTGGACTTATCCGTAGATAAAAACCTATAGATTATTTTAAATTTACTCTGGTAAAAATGAAAACCAGCCCATTGAAAATGACGTAACAATTTCACTTTATTCTCAAGTCTCTAATTTTGAAAAAATAATTTTAACATTATATGTCACGGTTTTGTAATTTTTATTTTCAATTTTATAACTTTATTCTAAAATTATAAAACAAATCTTTTTCAGCTGTAATTTTAGAACTTTATTAGTTTTATAATAATCATTATTATATTCTATATCATAACTTAAAATGCATATATATGCATTTTACCGTAATTTTATTATGGTAACAGCCAACAAAAATACGCACACCTATAGGTACTGCAGTTTGGTATTTGAGAGTAGGACAGTAGGTAGTAGGCGTTTAAGGAGCGGAGGCGGTACTAAGTATAAATTATAATCTACTGACAATGTGAAATAGGTGTATTTCTCATTTTATTTGTAAAGGAAAAATTATCTATGGATCTATTCTCCAATAAAATATTAAATATTAAAACATGAAACAATATTTTTCTAATATGAAAGTCAAAATAAATACAAATCAACATGTATGTAAAGATAATATAAAATAAACTCATATGAATATATAGATTTTTATGTATCATCATTGTTTTTATTGGCACTACTTTTTAAAATATTTTCAGTTGAATGAGTTAATAAATTAAGTAACAATATTTATTACAGTTGTGAAATGTATCATATAATGTATTATTACAATATACGTATTATGATTAGTGTAAGGCGTGTAAGGCGTGTAAGCATCATAGCATTTTCAAAATAATTTACAAAATATACTTTTACTGTTTAGAGTTATAATCACGCAGTAATAAGTACCTAACCAAATATATTTTTATATTTTAATTTGAGTATAAAAAAGTAAATCATTTTAGGCATTTTTGTACAAATTATAGTACCACTATACGTAATGTCGTAATATTATAAAAATTTAAAAACCATATACAGATGTTTTTCACTGTTCTAGTGTATACACGTTTTCATTGCAATGCGCCAATGCAAATAAATATACAAAAAGTTACATATGCCAGAACTGATATGCATAATTAGTTTATATGAATAAAACGTCTTATGAATGTAATGCTAGCTTTGGATTCAACACTAGATAAATAAATAATATTAAATTGAAACAAACATAATTAATACGTATATTACGTCTAGCCTTAATATTGAGTTAAAATCCAAGTTCATTTTCTAGTAGTTCTAAACATTTATATCGTAACATTTGAATTTTATCATTACTCAATCTGTCAGTGTAAATGTCCATGTTAGTATAGTATAGTATAGTATAGTATAATATAATATTATATAAAGTATAATTAATAATTATACACTATTATACATTTTCTAAGCCTTGAATAGTTTTATGAAATAACAAATTCAGAAAAATCTAAATGTTATGTTGTAGTGCAACATATTCAAATATACATAAAAATAGAATTTTTTTAATATTATTATTTAATGTCAATAAACAACCGTTGGAAAAATCCTAATTATGAAATAAATAGAAAAAATTATAAAATCAGTTATAAGACGTATTATTTAGATATCATAAGCTACAATTGTGTATACTTAACTAAAATACGCTCATGATTCATGACATACCTATTTTAAAATCTAATTAGTATGTGTTTGATGTTTCTACCACTAATATAGGACTATACTCTAACGTAACCCATAATATAAACGATATAAGTACATAAATAATGCAAAATTTGATGAACAATTGTTCAGAGTTAAATAAAGACGTAAACAATTTATCAATTGACCATTGACCAAGTTATATAGTTTCATCTATAGTTTAGTATTCGAAGCCAGGAATCTACTATATTCTTTGTGCTAATTTAATTAATAATTATTATCACGCTTTCATGGTTTATCGAAAACCGTTAAAGTATATTTCTCAGTGTTTATTACTCTTTTTAATAAACATAGTATCATATAATTGTGAAATCATTGAATGGGAAAGACTTCGAACACGCGTTTTAGAAAAATTATTGCCACACGCATTATGTAGAAAAGGGTTCGACGATAGTACGACACACAACAACAATGTAAAATCACTATACCTACTTATTTTCTTAATTGTAATTTGAAAAAAATTCAATACAAGCAAATTAATAAAAAATACGGCAGATTTTAAAAATGTCTTCATTTTTTTAAAAAAATAAATAATATTTATTTAATAGAAACAATATTATATATCACGATGAACTTTCTCTTAAAGGGTGATGACTAATGATATACTTCAAAGTTATAAAAATAAAACCATGTACCGGAGGATGTTTACTATTTGCACCACTAAGTACCAAATATATGTACAATAGACTATAATACTAAATGCAATTAGTACTTATCATTAAGTACCTATTAACATATTTTTATTGGAGTGAATATTTCAATTGTAACTTTAAGATTTTGACTTTAGAAAACCAAGATTAAAGAATTACTGGTAACCGTTTGTACCGAGCCACGATGCTGCGCTGAGTGTATTGATTGCACTCTGACAAACGGCCCCTCCCCCCACGTGTGCCGAATGACCCACAAAATTCGCTACCACCCAAATTATTCCTGCTGACCTATATAAATCGTTTCTGTTTATACTATCGTTTTTTTTGTTTGCTAGACATTAGATAAATGTCAATGATAAATCTATTATAATTTCAACGCAATACACATATATCATATTTTATCATCTATAATATGCTCGCTGTCATAATATATTAGGTGTGTGTTGGGTAATCGCGAACCTCTATACTGTGTCTATTTGACTACATACACGTTATTTATAAAATTACTATAGTAAATTGTTTACCTGAACAGCAGCTTGATTTTCCTTGTCCAATAAAAATTCCATAGACTTAGCCCTGTAATCGGTTGCGTTTGATGGAGACCCGTCGGCGGACGATCTGTTCGAGTCGTTGGGGGCCAGAGACAATTTTGCCGACGAAGCACCCAGGTCGAGCAGACTACGAGCCTTTTTGTTGGGGCTGCAACCACCGCCGCCCATCATGAGCGATGACGAAGATGTCCTGGTCACGTTCGAGTCCAAGTCGGTCTCGAGCAGACCGGCCCGGTGATCCGGACGGGACATGGCAACGGCGGCGGCGGGCGACCGCGATTGCAGAGACGCGCGACTGCCGGCCGTCGGTAGTGCCGGCGGTGGCGGCAGTCGGCTACCGCGATTTTCATCGTACATGAGGCGCCGGCGCGTTGTGTACCCATCTGCTGACGGGGGTTGCGGGGGTAACGGCGGTTTTTTACCCCTATCGGATACGGCGGCGGCAGTAGACGGTCGTCCCGAGACGGGTGGCGGGGGTGGTGGTGTGTCGGGCCTACAATTATTATTACTCGGCTGTGCCGTCACCGCTGCGTTGCATTCTTCCACTTTTTGTTTCTTCTTGTCCTTGTTTCGCCGGCCGCTAAGTCTGCGCAACGAGAACCGCTGGAAAAATCCACCGAGCTTGTCGCCGATCGTTTTCGGTTTAGCTGACATGGCGACCACCGCGGGCGCATCGACTTCGATCGGTCGCGGTTGAACACTGCGACTGTGACTGTTGGAACCGGTGGCCGCGGTGTTATTTTTAGTGGGCGCGGCAACTATCCTATGCGACATTGGTGGGGAGCCGCCCGTGATGAAGTCCAGCCGTTCGCGCAGCTGTTGTTTTTCCGCCACACTCGGACGCCTGGTTTCCGATGGCAAACCGGTCAACAGTTTCATTACCATAGTGTCAATGTTTTCGTCGGCCTCGTCACTAATCCGGTCATAGTCTTCGTCGTCTTCCGTTTCCGGGGGTTCATCCGACCCGTTGTCGTCTTCGCCGCCACCGACGTCAGTGCAGCTGCTGCTGCTGCTGAAGCTCTCACGCCAGTTCACTTCGGACACGACCGGACAAAAGTGCACGCCCTTGTTGGGCGTCGGCGCGGTGGCCAGGTTCACGAAACTGGTGGTTATCAGTAGATTGCTACCACGCGAAGAGGCCGCACTCAGAGCAGACTCACTCTCGTAGTGTATGCGCTTCAGCGAGTGCGATCTGTCCAACGATACAGTGGAATCTAGCAGCTTTTTGGAGCGCAAATAGTCACCCTCGGCGTGCGCCAGCAAACCGTCGGCACACAGGTTGGGCGTGCTTGACATTGGCAAACGGGACGCCATCGCGGTACCGTCGCGGTGGTGATGATGGTGGAGGTGGTGATGCCGGCGGTTGTCGTCGTCGGTCGTAGGAGATTCCGCGGTCACTGACGGCCGTTCGCCCAGATCGGGATAGCTGTGCCAGGCTGCGCTAAATTTAGATTTCATCTCGTCGTCGTCGTAGTCGTCGTCGCCGTCGTCCGTCCCCTTCCCTTTGGCGGTGATAGAGCACTGCGCGGCCGTGGCAGAAACGACGGCGGCGGCGGCGGCGATCGTCGCGATGCTCTTCGTCGACATCTCAAAATAGTTCTCGTCCTCGGCGATGGGTTTGTACGTTTGTTGTGTGGCAGGACCACGGGGCACCTGATCCCCGAAACCACTATCTTCGCTCAGGTTCTCGGACGATCGTTGCTGCTGTTGCTGCTTACATCCTACCCCCTGTATAACGTCTTCAGTTTTCTTGCTGTCCGTTTCGTCTTCGTCGTCGTCGTCCATTTTTTCGCAATACGCCGGGTCGATGAGACAGTCGACCGTTTTGTACATACCGGTGGCCGGTTGCGCCACAGCGCATGTCGCCCCAACGGACGCCGCCGCCGCCGAGTCGTGTTGCCCGTCGACTCTACCGCACAGACGCAACTCATCCAGACTCTGTGACACGTCGTTCACGCCGTCTATGCAGTTGTTGTTGGATCGTTTCCGGCTCACCGTCGAGTGCACGCTCTCCATGCTCTTGCTGAGTGACTTGACGCTGGACCCGTCACCCGCGTAACTCGAGAACGGCGTGCTGCACAACACGGCTTCATCGTCGTCCATGGTGGTGCCGCAGTCGTCATCCGTCGCGGGTTGTTTCCAGTTGTTCCGGCGTGGCAAGCCCGCCGGACGTTGGCCGGCGTTCAGAGACTCTGCGCTGTTGGTCATGAACGGCGTCGCGGTGGCTGTTGTCCGGAACACGGTTTGTTCGCATTGTTTTTCCAAGCTCTCGAACTGCAACAGGCTACCACCCCCGTAACCGTTGGTCAGCGGTCCCCCGCCGGCACCAGTTGTCCACAAATGGTGATCCTGTAGGTTGTCCCTGTAGAACAATACCGTGTCGTGGTCGTCGTCATCGTGCACGCCAGGATCGTTATTGTCATACATTCTGATGGTCGTCTGTTTGTTATTGTTGCTTGAGTTGAACAAGTTAAACGGATCACCACGGTTTATCACAGACCAGTTTTCTTCCTTAATAAAATCTGTAAAAGGTCAGTGAAGGTTTAGAAGTACAAAGTCACATCCCCACGATGGAGGGAACAAAGTTAGTTAAAAATGTTTACATATCGTATACGATAACAAGTATCCATAATTAAGACATTGACAATTTATTATGTCAATAACGATCCTACATCATTGTAATATGCAAGTATAACATATATTGCTGAAAATATATGTTATTACAATTTATTATTATATAGTTGTAGGTTCCACGACTTGGTCTTATAAAAACATAAAATTAAATAATAAATACCTACAGCAAATGGCTATAGTACCTACATATATTTTGGGGTCAAGAGTAAAAATTCCTGACACTTTTCAAAATTATCGGGAAAACAAAAAAATATGGGTACGAATAATAGGGAAGTTTTCAAAAAAATCTATTTTGTTGTTTTATTGTTTTGTTGAACGAATAACTGTACTCAACACGGGTGCATATTTACCAATTATTTATAATAGCATTTTTTTGACATGAAATATTTTAGATATTTTTATAAAATTTAGACATTTAAAATTGTTATGGGGTTGGATATTAAAATGAAAAATCACGATTTTTCCTTTGACGATTTTAGTTATTTTATTGTAATTAAACACTATACGGTATGTCGGTATTGGCTATTTGACTTTAAAAGTTAATAAGAATAATATGATAGGTATTATAATAATTATTATTTATCTGCGAAAATGTCAGCAAAAATTAGTTCAACTTACTTACTACTTTATTCACTATAGTAATAAAATTAATTAACTACAAAATATATATTTAAATAAATAGATGCTGATTAGAATGGTTTTTAGTGTGCAATGATTTATCATTGAGTTCAAATTTAACACAACCATTACAGTAAGATACTTTTAATGATGACGTAGATTTACTTGAAATCTACTATACAGCAGAGCGACTTCCTCAGTTATTTTAATGTCTGTAATAATTATTTGAGACTAATTATTAGAACAATTTGAATGCTAATTTATAATTTGAAAAATGTTATTATTAATAGTTATACTCATTTTTCATTGTTATATTTATTGTAAACTCCTTTTGTATATTACAATATGTCTGTATAAACGTATCTGTGCTATTTGGGTTGCCTGTTTAAATATTTTAAGGAACGATGAAAACTTAGTATTAAAACTGGATTTTAAAACAATTGGAATTCTAGGCGTGAGGTAAGATGAGTCACCTTGTGTCTCAGACTAGTTAGTACATTAGCGCATGCCATCAATTTATAAATTAAAAAAATGGGTGTGAGCTCCTGTGGTTATTAACCATATCGTGCATACAATTTGTTGTAATATAAACATATAAACACATAAGTGTATATTATAAAAACGCTTTTATTACTTTTTTTATTTTTCAATGTCAAGATAAATATAAAAAACAATTTCTAATATTTAGTTTGTATACATACATATTATATAAGCAATAGACATTGATAGTTAAAGAAAAAACTGGTTTTATTCGAATTATTAAAATACTATACTTACAATATATTTTATATTTAAACATCGTTTGTTTATATTTTAAAAACGATTTCAATACGATATATTCATATATTTATGAAGTTCAAATTCAAATGTTCAAAGCATATTTTTATGTAATAAAAATCGTGTAACTGTAATACATGAATACAAGATTAGTTGATTTATTATTCACCGATAAGCAGTTAACTCTTTATTCAGAATATTTTTATTTGATGTCTGTATTTATTTGTAATCAGGAGGACAAGGATTCCATAAACGAGATAGTTTGTTTATTAGCAATATTAAACCAATTAATATGCGATAAGTGTTTACTAAAATATAGATAAGCACGAAGGTAGTGCGTATGGTATAGCAACATAATATATATTTTTTAAAGAATGAAATTTGTTAATAAAATTTTATGTTTTTAATATAGTTAGGTACCTAAGAATAATTCATAATTATTTTTATTTTTAAATAGGTGGCAATTGATTGGAATTTTTTTAAAAGAGGGTATTCGATCTGCTGTATTATAGTGTATACTAGATATTAAGTACTACATATCAAGTACGTGATCATTGAGTAGATAATCTGATAATGGATGTGTTCAATTGTAATTCAATGATAAATCATTATAAATAAAAGACAATTATGAGCGATGGAGACGGGTGGATCAGCATTTCTAATGATAGTTTGTGACACTTCGTGTTATACAACTTATACTATATTTATATAATTATTAGCATTTTTCCCGTTAATAAATTAAACTAATTTTTACCAAAACTATTGTAGGTTCATACCTTATTAATTATATCATATTATATTATTTTACTTTTTAAAATTTAATACATAGACGGATCGTATATAATGATGTGAATAGGAGGTTTGTATTATATAAAGTCTTGAAATTAGTCTAAATATTCTTAAAAATGTAATCGATTATCATTAGGAAATGAGAATATAAGTAATTCCAGAATGTTTGATTTTTCTACTGTTCATTTTTTTTAATTATAATTTGTAACTAAAATGGTTTGAGGAAATTTCGTTATTATTATTGGTTTGAAAATCTGATTGAGTCAAAATTCGAACTTGAAACACTCATAAAACAAATTGTGGATCTGTTTTGATATTTTTGATTTCCAGTAACAAGAAACCTTGAATTAAAGTTGCAGGCATAACGTATTCAAATTGAAAACAAGGTGGAAAGTTTAAAATTACCTTAAATATTCCAAAAAAAAAGACATCTTTTCTCCATATAAAGAAACCAAGTATTTGGAAAATGATATTATTTCTAAAACATACTAATATAAATAGTTGGGGAAAATGCTAAGCCCTACGGTTTCTGAATTACGTAGGTACATCAAAAAACAAAATCGATTTGGTCAAAAACTAGTTTTTTGTAAAAAACATTCTCGTTTCCCGCTGTTTCCTAATTTGTATTAAGAAAAACACTGGCAATTCACCCACTTTTGATAAAAAAAACTATCAACTAAATAAAATTTAATAAGAGAAACCAATCTTGTAGTAGAAGTTTGAAGCAAATTTTCTGCTCCAAAACTTGATGACCGAAAAAAAAACCATTGTAAAACCAGCTAATCACTATTTCTCAAAAACGACAAAATCTACGAACTCGACATTTTGAATAGTAGCTAGTTCCTCCATTGCTCCAGATGTGCAATAAGAAGAGGTTTAAAAATATACGTTTTTAAAGATTGATTGACTCAGGAATTTTATTTCGCCTAACGAAAAATCTGTAATTTTTTTATGCATATACATGGTTATAGAAAACTAAATATAGTTATTATGACTGGAATTAATTTTAAAATTGTATTATTTATTTTATAACTGGCGTGGACCTAACTACCTATTTGTTTCCTAATTCATAAAAATACGATTATTTTTTTAAATAATGCCATACAGATTTCAAAAATGTAATATAAAACAAACATGGTTTATAAAATTAGCCAAGTAATTATTAACTATTTTTTCCTAATGCACCAAAATACAATTATTATTTTAAATAATTCGATACAGATTTTACAAATTCAAATCTGTTTTTTTCCATCCTTCGTATTTTTTATTTTCATTAAGATTATAATTTTGTCTTTTATCGAACTAATGTTTGTTTCCTGGCTTTTAATGTTTATGCGCTTCTAATTTTAATATAAATTTCTGATTGAACTACTAACAAAACATAAAAAAAATATGAACATTAGGGTGTGACATATAGAAATTATTTTTGAAATGCAAATGAAAGGCATTGAGCGCATTTATATTCTTGGTAAATTACGCTTTTGAATATTTTTCTCCATACTTGATGGCAGTCCCTGCTAATTCTATATTATTTAATATTGGATAATTTATTACCTTTTGACAGTGGCTTCGAGTAAAGTTTCATATGCACTGTTGTGCAAAGTATTGCAACTACGTATTATTTAAAAATTGTTTTATTAACATTTTAAATGTCCATCAATGAGGCCCAATCACCGAGTCTACTTGTTATAAATGTAAATCTTTAGTGGCCCAATTACCGTTTACTTTTTTGAAAAAAGGATAATTGTGGCCTAATGCTCGGGCGCCCAAATTTAATTAGGAAGTTATTTATTTATGTCACCTGTTCAAAGGTTACCACACAGCTTTGGAAAGTCGACTTTTTTGCAATTAAAAACAATCTTATTTTTTCCTTTTATGTATTTATCTTGCGTATCATAAATTAAAAGTACGCTATAATTTTTAAACGTAGGTACATGATTAGAACACGATAATGAATTATTGCATGAAGTAGGCAGTAATGGATGCTTGTCTGTCTGTTTATCCGTTCGTCCAGAAAAGACTTCGAAATGAATTAACTGTTTTTGGCGGATACTGAAATACAGGTACCAAAGCCACCCTGAAGCAATTTAATATATTTGGTACCCCATATCAAAGAGTTATTAAAACAATATATATTTCATTTATAATATAGAAACTATTAAAGCTATCTTTATTTATTTGCTGGTTCGAACATTTTAGGATATTAGTTCTTTTTATAGTCTAAACTTACTTTAACAAAATTAAATAGTTGACTGTCGAGTACATGATGAAAATCAATTAAATCAATCATTAGAAAACTTGATAGAAGAATTCAAGCTACTGTCTTTTTTAGCAAGCATTTATTTTGAAACAATAAAACTATACCTACCTATAACAAATAATTAATATTTATAATACATAAAATGCTAATTTGTTTGGTGTTTTCGTAATTTAACCTAATGGATATTTTTCACTTAGGTACTATAATATTATCAATGCAATAAATTATTTGAATAGATAAATTATGTAAATCAATTAATGTTAAGTAACATTGATGTTCTATAAGAATCGATTTATATAATATTAATATCAATTAATAATCATTAATTTTATAGTTAATATTAATTAATTATTTTTATATAAAAATTATACCTTCTTCACTACTTCTTTCCGAATCCGTCCGCAAATCATCAGAAGTTTCTTCAAGAATTGTTTCAAGAAAAATATAAGATGTGCTGCTTACAATGTTTCCACCATAACTGCTTTGGTTGAACGATGACCAGTTATCTTCGTCACCGTTATCGCAAAGATCGTCTTCTGTAACACGGTCAAATTAAAACAATCAATTAGGAACAATTACAGTTAAATCAGAGTACGACATCAAATCATTTGAGGGATGATAGATGGAATCTATTATTCCTTGTGTTTTATATTCAAACAAACTTAAAAATCGTTAATACCTATACTTTTATGTTATTTTCTTAGATATTTTAAATACGTGAGTATTTGTTATACTGTGTTGTCACTTGTATCTAATAGGTTTAACAAATCACTGTATAGTGACACAGCGAAAATGTTTATACTTTATTATACATAGAAGTTATTTACAATTCGTACAGTTATTTGTTATATAGGCATATATTATAGAGTTTCATAATGTTTTGTCAATGTGTCGGCCAATCGTTTAACATATTTCGTCGGTCGTTATATACTGCACTACACGTTGTCCTACGTGTTTGTGTGCCGTAATAACTAATAAGACGAAAACAAAGACACGTGATCAACAATACATGCTACTTCAATAATATATAGTCTATAGTCTATATGACACAGAAACTACGCGCGTTGCATATTTTACGTATATTTACTCGGACAGGAATCTATACGGAATACGGAAACAAGATCGTACGAAGGGCGCAACAAAACGTGACTGTTGATACGAGGCCGAGGCAATGATTGTCCAGAAATCAAAATATAGTGTAATCAAGTGTAATAGTAGGTGCTAACTATTTGGATTCATATATAATTATAATGTTTTAATTTCTAATTATAAGTAAGTTATTAGCGAGTTAAGAGAAAAAAAATCATAATTGCGGTAAGTGCCCGTTAATGAAGACAGTGGCATAACATCGACATTTAGGCCCGGGAACCAAATTTTCAACACTTCATCTATGAAAATATTTGAGAAATCTTAGTGATGTTCAACAATTTTCTGTATTTTTAATATTTTAATATTAAATGTTTAATTAAATACATCGTTTCACGAGGACTATATATAGTTATAATTTTAAAAATAATTTCATGCAATTTTAAATATACATAATATAAATAATAAATGGATTTTAAAATGTAATTGAAAAAAATATATACCTAATATTGTTTTAATGAAAAATACCGCTATTCAGTTTATTAAAAAAAAAAATGCCGTTTTCAATCAACTTTATACCTATTATTATGTTTAGTCATCATTAAAAATCAAAACACAACTCACGTTTACGGTGTTTTACTCTCAACATAAGGTCATCACGCTTTATGAACATTGTACATTTGTACATGATTCTAATTTAAGCGTCGAACTTATTCAAAATAATATAAATATATAAACAACAAAATAATATGATGCGAATAATATAGATTCAGTAGATTAGATTTCATTAGAACATATATTGGCAATTTTCATATATTTTACGATCAATTTACATATTATTATTATTATTATTATTTTTGGTTATGAAATGTCTAAATAATTGTCAAGTATAACACGGATGATTCATTTTTGGCAGGTTGTGGCATGATAATTTTCTGTTATCGTGTATAAGAATGTTGTAAAAAAAAAAACTAGCACGAGTGAACGGTGGCAACGAGCGCAAGAAACGGAATGGATTTAAAACGCAAGTAGTTTCCGTGAAGCCAAATAACGGTAGGTATACTAGGTTATATTCTGCCCCGTTGTTGGCCTCTTTTTTCTGAGGTTTGAGCAATTTTTTTGCCGATATAATATATGATAAACCATATTCCATATTACACCTTATATAGTGAAATTCGCAAACTATTAACATTATTAGAAGTACCTACAGTGTACACATACTGATATACATTGTATTCAACATTGTATAGGTTAATGACTAATGTATTAGTAATATTATTTAACTATTGAAATAGGTACATACTTTTATGTGAGTTATACTTCAATATTATATTAGTTATATGTGTATACCTGGTACTTATATAAATAATTTAAATATTATGTATCTACTCATACATCTACAGTTACATCGTATATATTAACATTTATAAATTGTATTATAAGCATATCATCTATTACTGTGCAGAATATAGTTCAAACGGAATTTCTCCAGAAGTTAGGAACACCAGTTTTAAATATTTTTTGTATATAATATATAACAACATTTCATACCTAGGGGCATTAGCTTAAATCATTTATAAATACAAATTACATAATATAAGTTTTTCAAAAAGATAAACAAATATTAAATACATTAATAATTTATTAAAACAATTGAGTTCATCAATTTTTTTTTATGTTGATCAATTAATAAAAAACATTTTTTTAACAAATAAATAAAACTGTTAATACATTCATGTATCATATTTAAAATAATTTTTAAAAAACTTTAATATAATGTATCTTTAGAGACGTCAATAACCGTAGCAGTTGAAGCGCATAAATAAAAAAAACTGCTTATACAAATGTTTGTAGATAAGTTATAAACTAAAAGGGTAATACAAACATAAGGTATATGAGATAGTATATAATATCTTCATAAAAATTACCAAATTGTTATAATAAATACAAAAACACAAATCTTTTAGATTAAAAATATATACCTATTTGTACCTATAAGCCTTTAAAATATGTCTAATTCACCGTCTTGTGGTAATATTCGAATTAATGTTGTGTTATTAACACCTGCGTGTAATTAATTTTAAATTCATATTGACATAAGTATAATTTTGGTTTTACTTTTTACTGTACCTACATATTATATACATAATATAAATAGTATAAATAATGTAGATATGCATTAATATTGTGTATATTATTGTTAGTACCTACCTATAATACGTATACATAATATGTAATAGTATAAAAATATATTAGGCTATTTTTAGTACAAATTTAAATTAGAAAGTGTTACGATGAATAAAATCGTAATTGCATGAACAAATTTAAATTTAAAATATAATTTAAAATGTTCATAATATAATGAATATTAAACGTTTTATTAGAAAATAAACATTCAATTTACTATAATTTATGTTGATTCAGTTTATAATATTATGCAAATACCTTGGCATCTCAGCAAATTAAACTTCGTGTAGAAACCATTGATCAATAAAAATAATTTGTTAAGCAAAATGTTTCAATTATAATACATTAATATCTCGAATTTAATGCAATGATATTTATAATCTTAGTTTAAAATATTAACACTATATTATGTACCTATAGTTAATTAATACATTTTACAATTTAAAATAATCGTACCACTTAGTTTTAACTTTTAACTTCTTAAAATATGCGTATTTATATAAAAAAAACTACATATAACGAATAAAGAGAGGCCGCTATCCCCCCAGACGGGCATGCCAGAAACCTACGGGTGCCCAATTTGAAATTCTGCCAAACTAAAATACACGTGTTTACAAAAACCTACTGTACCCTCCCCCACAGTTAAAAACCACCCAATGGCCTAAGTTGCCGCGGGTTAATCAATAAAAAAAAAGAATAAAGATACTGTAACTTACATAATTGAGAGGATGTCAGCGCACTATTTGTTTTCTCTCTCTGTACCACAACATAGACAAAACGCATTAACGCAGAATAATTTTTGTCTATGTTCTCAAGTAAGCTTAGAGTAAAATCCCCCATTACAAAAAAGATAGAGAATAATATTTTTGGGGGAATGATCTATCGTTTTTATATTTTATTGTTATTTGACTTTCAAAATAAACAAAAAATGTTGTACATTTAAATTATGTTTAAATTGTTTTGAGACAATATTTAGACAAATCGATAGGTCATTCTTTCAAAAATATTATTTTCTATCTTTTTTGTAATGGATAATTTTACTCGAAGATTACTTACAAACATAGAAAAAATGATTCTGCGTAAATGCGATTTGTTTATGTGGCTTGTGGATCAGAAAGAAAACAAATAGGTAGTGCGCTAACATCCTTTTAAGATTTCTAGGAAAATTAAATATACTGTTTAATATACAAAATGTGTTCGTAAACAAAGTGTGATATTTTCAATTTTGATCAAATGGTGGAAGGTACTCGTACCCAGATATAATTCAGAAGAATCTATCTAACTCGGTTATTTTTAATATAGAATGATTTGACTATATCAACAAATTTAAAGGTAATAATACTATTTGTGATTTGAGTAGGAGTTTTTGAATATTTACCTAAATGTTCAAACACAAGTTATGAGCGTTTTAAAATTGTATTTTTTTCAAACATTTTAAAATGCTTATAACTTGCTTCATATGTATAAATACATAATATTATATATACACTAAAATATGCATGATATTGCATGTTGGATTCTTGTATTGGGTGCCTACAAACTTAAACAATGATAATAGAAAAACACAAAAATGATACGCCGAGTACCTATCATACGCGTGGTTGTGGAATGGTTATTAAACATAATAAGACAAATAAAAAAATATTAACTACATAATAATAAATAACATGTCATTCCAGTTGATGGACATAAAAAATATTAGGTACCAGTAGGTTGACGTAACCAATAGGGCGGCATAGGCAATAACTAAAACAACGAAATTGGTCTTGTTAACAATTGTGGTCGTATCTACACGCGGTTCAACGTACTTGTTTTGATTGGGCATGGGATGTGGCGGACGCGCTTACATGCGTGCACTCTAGTACAATATACCAATTTTTACGTGATAGGTACTGGCTCTTGTTAAATAATTTCGAGTCTTATAATTTGACGAATATTATGAATTGCAGTAAAATTAATTAATCATACTAGAATTTCTCTAAACTCCTAAACTAGACCGGTTTAAAATTATCCCACATTATCCCGCACCGGGATAATGAACCGCATATAAACGATAGGGTCCAAACATCCCGGTGCATTATTTTTCACACCAGTTTAATCTAGCGGATTTGTAGATAATCACACTGGTTCTCAAACTATTATAATATTTATTAATACGATCATTATAAAATATATTATAAATATGAAATGCGATTTGATCACATTTTTTAATTAGTTGAACAACGCCGTTTATTAGTTAATATTTTCTCATTTTGGTATTATTTTTGCATGAAAAACTATAAAATATGAAAATTCCATTCCGCTCACTTGTTAGAATGCCATCAAAATAATGATTGACCGGTGGGTATAGTTATTTTATTTTTAGGTACACTAATCTGTATCGACAGCATGGCCGATGGAATACAATAGATAGTCAGTGTGGTCGTCTTGGTTGAATACTGTGTGAACGAGGTTTTATACGTCTAAGTTACTATTATAGCAATTTACACATATAGATGTGTGTGTACCTATATAATATAATATTATGTATATACATACGCATATGTGTATAAATATATAGTATGTTTATATTTATTATATAAAATGTACACAGCAGTAGGGTATTATAATTACCATTGTTGTCGTCGAAATAGTCAGTGTCATGAGGGCTAGAATCGAATGTGGGATCGTTTTGTTGGTGGCTATTGCCAACCACCGCCACTGGCGGTTGCTGGAGCCCATACGCAGGAAGCCAATGATTAGTTCCAGCAGTGTCAAGCTTTTCCGACCAGTCACTGAACGCAATGTTTTCAGCCATATCCACACACTGACACGTACTAACGATCTGTAAATAAATTGCATTATTGAATCGTAGGCATGGTGTAATCACTAATCATATTATATCATATTATATTAACACATTATTCTAATATATTTTTATGTAACGTTTATAGCGTTCAACTAGATAGAAATTAAGAACTTATGAAAATGTGTAAATTTCCAATATTTTACGATATATTTTTTAAACATTTCTGTGATTACATAACATATTCAAACTTTAAACTGTAACATGAAATCAACTATCAACCGTTCAAAACATATTTATATTTAAACTAAGCCGATCTGCTGTACAGTAGTTTTCGAGTATGTCATTGTAATGGATGTGTTATATGTGTATTCAATGATAAATCATTGCATACGAAAAACGATTTTGAGCGGAGACGTTGTGTCATCCTAGCATACTTGTATAAATAATAAAATTTAATAGGTAATGAAAAAAAATGAATAAAAATCGAAAATATTTCATAACGGAACTTTTCAGTGAACTATTATTTTTCATAAAGGTATTGAACAATCTTCTATTAAAACTTCTAATGTTAGCTATGAAGAGAAAATTTTTTATGAACTTCTAACTGAAAAATAATTTAAGTTTGAAAAATGTCTCATTGCTATAATGCCTATAATAGCACATGAAGAGTAAAAATATTTTGAAAATTTTACCATACATGGAAAATGATAATATAAATATTTGGTGAAAATTTCAAATGTCCAAGGTTTTAAGTTTTTGAATTACATCAACAAAATAAAATTGACTTTTTCAAAAATTGGTTTTGCATAAAAATAATCTTTTTTCATTTTTTTATTTCGTTTTTTTTTTCATGCTTTCGAAACTACTGGAAATTTTCAATTTCGACCTCTCAAAAGTACAAACTAGATTCATTTTTCTATTAGATTATATATCGACGCCCCGACTGATGTCGAAAATCTAAGCATTTTTACTACCAAAATGTTGATTATAGACAGAAAAAAAATACACATTGTAAATAGGTACAATACATTCATCGCTACGATCAGAATTTAAAATGTTTGATACAACTTTGGTAAAAATATGCAAATTATACAAAATATATATATTAGATAGGTACAATTTAACATAAATATAGATTTAATTTGATATAAAAATATCAAACGACATATATTTTGCAAAATGTTTATTTTATGATAGGTATAATATACGATTATATCTACATATTACTTCTTCCTACATTCATATAATATACTATGTATGTTACCTAAACAAACACATACTATAAATAGGTGTACACGTACAACATAATATACTAACAACCGTAGCATTATAATAAACAGTTTACTAGGGGTAATCTAAAATTAGATAGGTATCATAAAAATAATTATCAATTTATACCTACGCCTATTCAAGACATACATTTTCATTATAATTGTACAAAATTATAAATACACTTAATAACAATTTAAAATTATTTTTCTCTTAGTTATTTAAGAATAACGTGGGGAGGACTACAGTCTACATTTTTACGTACCTATCTTATATTCGTATTTATAATCGTATAAAATATGAAATTTAAGTAGGTATAGCTTATACTTACGCATAAAAATAAACGTCACCAATATCATAATTTAATGTTTCAAACTATACACGTATTGATACATTTTAATTTAACTAGGTATTAAACTACATAGGCTCAATTGCTACCAATTTTCGACACATTGTGAAAAAAGTATAATAAGTTTATTTATATCAAGGTCATATAACAATTTATTATACTACTAATGTAATTTTCTATTTAATTCAAAATAATATAGATACATACAAACTACAAAAGGTACGCATAGATGAGGTGTATCATGATATTATATAGATATCACAAAGTCACAACATTAGGTACTATACATATCATGTCATCTATATTTAATGATAAAAATTTTAATTTAAATGAGCTATGAAAATATGAAACTACATAGAACGCAGGTAGTAGGAGGTACTTGCGTATTTTATTGTTTACACATTCAAAGAATTAGGTAGGTTGGATATTGTATATTTATTATTTAATATTATAAAATAATATTTACTATCATAAAAAATTAATTAATAGACATAAAATATTAATAAACCTTTAATAGGGAGAGTATTTAAACCATAATATTTTTAAATTATCAATAATTATTATATATTCATATATAAATTCGAGTACCTATACATTAAAAAGCAGTAGCAGCCTTTAGATAAATGCAAATCGTTTGTCCTATTGTTTGGCAAATAAAAATACTCTAGATATCAGAATATTTCACTCCTAATTTATATAAAAACTGTAATTATAGCAAATATAGGTATATTTTTAAGGATCTATATGTGTACCTATTTACTTTTTCCGACGGTGTACCTACTTATCATTTGTATGTTATTGAATAAAACAAAAAAATCCTCGACAAAATCATACGGAAATTTAATTTGATCCCTCGATATTCCGTCTACCGTTGAGGCAGATTAACTTAAAGCAGTACTTTTAGAAAGGTTAGCTTAATCGGTAATAAAACGAAAGTAAACAAAATATTTAAAATAAATATATAACACAATATTATTGATAATAATTAACCGGACCATTTCAAAACATTGTTCGTTGTATTAAATAATCCTTATTACTTAAATAGGCTGTTGATTATTTGTTATTATAATCTAAATAAAACAGTACCTAGATTAGATATTGACTATTAGTATTGATATGATACACTACTAGTAAATACGCACATCTAATTATAATATTTTACTAAACAACAAATCTGTTTACCCCTTTATTTTCTAAACTTGATGTGCTCGAAGGACATTTTATTTGAACTCCAAATTAATCTTATTTCACTAATAAACATGAAAACAAGAAACTAGGGAAGTCACTGCTGTATAGTAGGAGCCGAGTGTACCTAGTCATCGAGCTAGTCATTGAGTACAGGTACAGAACACTGTAATAGTGGTGTTAAATTTGGATTCAATGATAAAACATTGCTGAGACAGATTATGTTTCCAATGATATTTTTACTATATATTTATACTGCCATTAGTTATTTACTTAAAACGGTATAAAACGGTGTAAAAAGGTGTACAATAAGTCCGTGGAATAAATAGCTCAAAATTAATCAAAATATTTTTAAAATTGCAAATATACTAATATTTGAAGAGGCGAAAAGCTTAAAGGGGTTAAAGCCTTTAAATTAATATTTTTAAATTACAAAATCTTTATTTTTTGTTTAAATATCTAATTTTAACTTGAAATGTCATGGTAGGTACCTATAAAAAAAATTGTGCATATGTATTATTAAGATTTATAGCGAAGTATTTATCTGTAAGTGGTGAGGAAGATACAACTTACGAGTTATAAGAGACCTTGAATTACATTTTCAAGCTACATCTATTTAAGTTAAAAACTTAATAAATTGAACCTACAAAAGAGCTTACATATTTTCGTTATTTTGATTAATTTCATAAAAACTACACGAACGAATATTATGAAAAAAATGTATGTTATGTATTTTGAGATTTTTTAATTAGTATAAAAATCACTAATTATGAGAACCCTGTATTTCAAGCTTTATTTTACTAACAAACAATAATATTATTATAGAGGTACATAAATCTCAACATGCATAAAAAAAACATCGGAAAAGAAACTAATAAAAGTGGACAATTTAAAATATCTATAAATCACACCAAAGTCCAAAATATATTGAAATTAATATTAATATTATTATGTTTATAAAATGTCAAGGCTAATATTAGGTGAAAAATATAGTACACCTATATACAATAAAAATAACGAAAATCGATTTTCTCAAAAACTGGTTTTGTGGGAAAACTTCTATTTTTCTCATTTACTATTTTTTTGATTTTTATTTTTCCCGATTATTTTTAATGTTTTTTTTACCAAAAACTACTCCGAATGATTGAGATTAAAACATTTTTTCTACTTTATTAAGAGTGTTCAGACAGGGGTTCAGACACAAAAAAAACATCATATTGTTTAATCCAATCTAATACATTTTTTACTCCACTCAGAACTAAAATATAATAACAAATACAAAAAGGTACTTGCAACTTGAAGTTTTTATGAATTCTGTTGGTAAACAAGGCTATATTTTATTAATTATAGATACTTTAAAGGTAACTTCGTTTTTTAATGCAGTTTTACGAAAACAAAAAATATATAAATTGTACGTTGTTAGGTTAGTACACCTTCACCAAAAATAAGTAATGTTCTATTGCGGTATTTTTAAAATACATTACAATCGTGAGAATTATAACTGAGTAGGTACCCAAGTGAAAGTTCTGAGACAATACATTATACATATACACAGGTCATGAGAAAATTATATTCGTTTCCAAGGAATTGTAACATTCAGATTCTTGTTTCAGTTAATATGGTATCGTCTTAGCTCATTATTATAGATATAATAAATTTCATACATTATTATGTTTAGAATTTATACTTTTCATGAAAATTATATTCAAAGTTCAAACTACACTGTGACCATCGTTTATAATGTATACTACATAAGATAAAGCAAAATGGAGGGATATTATTCTTGATATTATATTATATAAAATGAGAATGTTTTTCTTATTACTTATTAATTAATAGTTAATTCTTTATTCAAAATAAAATAATACCTGCAGATAACCTATTAAGGCACATATGTCAGTTTTGAAGTCTATGCACATGGCTGGTTTTATCAGAGCCTATAGATGACAGGTGATCGTTAAAATAATGGGGTGAACCGTGAACGTTGGCTCAAGTACATTTTATTCCCGAAAACCACCACTGCACGGCCACATTTCAAAGTAATTTATAGCCCAACAAATGATAGGTACATCGTACATCTGCTTTAAAACTTCCAATAATTTATCAAACCCTTCAAATTCAAAAATATACATTACAAGCAATCGCAAAAGCAATTTGTTCAGAGTAGGTTTTCATATATTTATTTACCTACTTAATTTAATTTAAA